AAAAAGAAACTATCAATCGACACCCTCTTGAAATGTTGCAACAACAAGAATTGATGAATAACATGATAATTGCTCTTGTAATCAACAAACAATCAACATCAACAGGTAAACAAATTCACTGAGACTCTTAATTCAACTCAATAAGTTTACTATTATTTTCTCATCCACATTAACTTATCCATAAAATACTTTACCTTTTCCCAGAATAAAAAGTTTAATCTCCAGGTAAAGAAAACGAAGAAGATAGAAAAAAAAATCCTTTTAATCTCATCTTCAAGTCTATTATCTCATAAACTTTAATGATAAATATGGTTAATCATGATTCCTTAAATTCATATTTATCTCATTAAATTAAGAAAAACATGATAATACCTTAATCATCATTAACCATTGTGATATTGTAAGTTATCTTGTAGGTCTTTATGTATAACCGAAAAGTATTAAAATCTTAATCATTATGAAAATAGAAAAGAAGAAAAAAAAAATTCCATCTTAATCTCTCTCATTGAATCTCAGGTAATTTCACTTTGATTCTAATGGACAATTTAATGAGTAATCATTATAATGATTATTTTTGATTGCTAGTAATCATATCGGATAATGAGTGGTAATAAAAATATAATTTACTCTGATTGTAATAGTTAACAAACATTTACAGTTTTCAAGTATCTCTGAAAATTTCACTTATCAAATTTTCATGATAAGTGATATGTTCATCATAATCATCATCATCATCATCATCATGTTCACTGCTGAGTTAATTGTTTTTGATGAACATGATTAAATGAGCTGAATATCAACTATTGTATATATGTAATGATGATGATAATGAATATGAAACAGTTTTCAAATCATCATTATGAAAGTTCAGTGTGTCATGTATATGAGTTTTGTTTTGAAAGAAAACAAAATTTACTCAACTAGTTTATTTTTTTTCTGAGTTTGAAACAAACAAAAAAAATGCTCAGCATCATCTTTATCATGATAATAATGATGATGATCATGATCATGATCATGATGCTGAGTCTTTCACTTTAAACAAACTATCATGTAATTGAAAATGAATCTCTTGTTAACCTGTGAAAAAAAAGGCTCAGCATCATGAAGGGTGGTAATGGAATATGAATAAGGAGAGAGAAAAAAGTTCTGGACTGAGTGGGAGGGGAAATTTTGTTATTCTTTTTGGGGAAAAAAGTGAAAGAGAGAAAAAGAAAGAAAAATAATATTCTGGATAATTTAATCTCAAATAATTTACACAATTTCATCATGTACTTTGGCATGAAGATGATGATGTTGATTATTATCATTCTTATCATCTTTTTCTTGCTTAATTTAATTCCAACGGTTTTACTTAATTCTTAATCTCCTAGACTCTTGATTGAAGTAACATTGAAAAAAGGAGCATCAAGATAACGGTAATCATTTTTGCATTGAACCTTATCCATAGATGTTGTTGTTGTTGTTGATCATCATCATCATCATCATTATTATTAATATTATCAAGTAGGAGTGGCAAGGGGGAGAGTGGATAAAGTAAGGAGGAGGAGGGTGAAGATGAGGATGAGGATGAGGATGAGGATGGTAGGCAAGGGCAAGAATGGAAAGTTAAAAAAACATTTTGTTTCCCGCTTCCTCTTTTTTTTATCATAGTGATTATCATTATCATCATCATCATCTTGAAAAGATTCATCAGTGTAAATATAATTTACAGAGTCACATCATCAGAGGGAGAGGAAACTGAAACAGGGTGGGGTGTTGGGAGAGACCTTAGATGTTTCATCCATAAACATCATCATCATTTTCCTCCTCCTGTTTGATTATTTCTTCATCTTTTTTTTACAGTTACTTTTTTTTCATCAATAAAGTTAAGGTTATACTATGTATACATACAGTATATACAGTTACATCTCGAGTTACTTTGTTTTTTTTTCTCTTTCTTATCTATCATCCTCATCCTCATCATCTTTATCCCGTTACCCCTCCCTAACTTAAGTCGTAAGCTCATCATCAAAATGAAGTCTCTCTCTCTCTCTCTCTCTCTCTCTCTCTCTCTCTCTCTCTGATAATCTTAGTTTATTAGAATTTCTTCATTCTCAGATTCTAATACGACTCACATGGGAGCCTCTTAAATGAAACATTCCAAGAATCAAAAAGATCATCATCATCATCATCATGAAGTAGAAAAGTTTGAAGGAGTCAATCAAAGGAAAAGATGATGACAAAGAAGAGGAAGATGAGGTGGAAAAAAGTTATTAACAAGTTGATAACATGAATTAGAGTCATTGCAGAGAGAGAGAGAGAGAGAGAGAGAGAGAGAGAGAGAGATCTTCTATTTCTTAAACGAAAATAATATACAATTTATATTAGATAATAAGAAGAAAGTTCAATATGAAGAGATTCAGTTGAAGAAAAATTTTCTCAAAGATCATGAAAATCATTCATAGAAGAGCTCATGTTATACACTATTTGCATTTTCCAATCTAAATCTTTTACATGAGAAGATAGAAAATGAAGAAGTAAAAGAAAAAAAAAGTTCCACCTCGATTTTCATGATACATGAAAAGAGAGATGGAAAAGTTTAAGTAAGAGAAAAAAATCCTCATGTAGATTGTAAATACCCTTTAAATTAGTTGCAGGAGATTGAATTCTGAATATCAGCATGGAAACTGAATTGTATCAAGTTAATGAAAGCACCAAAATATTAAACGGATCAGAGGTTTAGGTGAGTAGAAAAAAAAACTTTCGGATTAAAGGAAAAACTTTTGATTCGAATGACAGAAAAGCGTTAAAACTGATTACGTTTCCTTTTTTTTCACCAAGAATTTTCCATGTTGATAGTTTTTTCTCATTCTGATCGTTGTAAAGTTTCAATAATTTGAGCTGTTATTTTTTGTCATCAATTTGTGCTGACGTTTGAATACAATTCTCAAAGCATCATCATGATGAAGGCAAAGACACCAAGGGATAAAAAACAATGAGTATTAAGATAATCTGAACAAGAAAAGTTTACCAAATGCTACAAAGTATTTATGTAATTCTTGTTTTCCTTTTTGCTTTCAAGAAAAAAGGTAATTCATTTTTTCAGCTTCATCATCACAAAATTCATGATATCAATGGATTAGAAATGAAACTATTTACAGAATCAACATATTAACAGATTGATAATACATGATGATTGTCATGATAATGGTGGTGGTGGTGGTGAGATGATGATGGTTACATGAAATTGACATTTATCATGAGCTGAAAAAAATGGTAATAGTTTGGGCGTGTTTACATTATAATGAATATTATCAATTCTGAATTTCGATTATCTCATTTTCTTTTCTATTTTTTTTCTTTCTTCAAACTCAGTGTGTGTGTACTGTTATTTTCATGGGGAAGATTTAACACTAATGATGATGGTAATGATGATATAGAGATGATGATGATGATGAGCTATTGATGATGATAAATATGAATAGATGAAGATAATAGTCATTCCCTGATAATGATGATAATCAGTGATAATCTTTGAATATAATCTTGATATAATGTGAATGCAAAGTGATATTGATAAAATGTGTTATCATGTTGATATTGTGTATTCATTGAGATGAATGGTATTGGATAAAGATGATAATAATCATCAATTGGTACAATCGATAGTGATACCAATTGATACCATTATCAAGTTAAGATGATGATGATGATAATGATGAGAGGCGAAGAAATAAAAAAGTAAAAGAGAGAAAAGTAAGTTAAAGGTTAGAATAACAATAAAATGAGTTGATGAGGTGGAAGTGGATGAGAGAAGAGGAGGAAAGAGAAGTGGGTGGATGAAGTGAGAGAGAGAGAGAGAGAGAGAGAGAGAGAGAGAGAGAGAGAGAGGTGAAGGCTTCCCTGAGGGCGATTAAAACATGAACAGAATGGAAGAGAGAAAAGAAAAATAAAAAGAGATGAATAAAGAATCAGATTCTAATTCCTATTTACGATTGGGTGTTTCTAGAAGTATATAAAGATTGGTGATAAAAGTTTCAGACACCGAGATGGAGAAAGATGAAGATAAAAAGTTTAGATGGAAGAAGATGCGAGAGAGAGAGAGAGAGAGAGAGAGAGAGAGAGAGAGAGAGAAAAGTGGGAGGAAGATGGCGATGAGAGGATAAAAGAACAAGGTGGAAATGCAATAACATTACAAGTTTAAATGGATCGAATAAATAAGTTACTATTACGTATAATATATTCCAGGAAGAGAATTGGAGAGAGAGAGAGAGAGAAAGAGCGAGAGAGAAAACACTTTGGTTTTATCATCATCATCATTGTTATTTTTGCATCTACCTTGTCATCTTATTTATCTCCCATGGATGAATTTTATTTCCCTTTTCTTTTGGCTATGTTTCGGTTCCCTGGTCATAACTATTCATTCAGTATATTAGGTGATAGAAGAGAGAGAGAGAGAGGAATTAAATACCGTTAGTGGAAGTAACTTTTAAGGTCAAATAGCGTGATAAACAACAATATAAGAGTCAAATTAAAGTCAAAGGAAGAGAAAACATTATCAAGAGAACTTTTTTTTTTCTCTCTCTCCATGTCATGTGGGAGTTGGAAAAAAGGGAGAGAGAGGAAGGTGGGAGTTCTCAGTAGGGTATAGATGAAATATAAAGTTGATACAAGTGGAGTTGAGGGGAGGAAATGGTGGAGATGGATAGTCGATATTGGAAGAGGGAAAAATGTTTCCTTTTCATAAAATCGCCTGGAAAATGTATTGGAAACAAACAGAGAGAGAGAGAGAAAGAGAGATGAAGATGATGAGGTTGAGGATGAAAGAGAGTGATGGTTATGAGAGATGATGAAAGATGATGGAGAATGATGAAAAATGATGATGAAAGATGAGAGAAAGATACTTTTGAAAAAGGGGCTCTAATTAGGATTATATGGAAATAATTTTTTTTCTCAATATGGATTATGAGATTAGAACTTTTTTTATTTATTTTCGATTATGATGATGATGATTAACTTACCATAAACAATCATTTTCTTTTTCTTTGAATCTTCATTGTCTGAAGACATTACGACACATGAATAATCTCCAGAAAGATCGGTTGTTGGATTAATTAAATTAATTGCTCTGTATTGAGTTAATGGATCAGATGAGTTAACAGAATAATTTAAATTGATATGACCTGAGAATTTTTTTGATGCATGTCGAGAATTTAATTCAGGTATCCATTGGTAAATTGGTTGTGGGTCATCATTGTGAAACCATTTAACTACAATCCGATAATTGTCACTTTTATGTAAACAATAAACACAATCTAATACGATACTTTCAGTTGAACCATTTTCAACTAATTCGGGAACAATTAACTTTTGAATTCCCCATTTAACATTATTACATGAAGATGAAGTTCCTGTTGTTGTTGGTTTTGTTTTTATCATTGATTTTGATGAGGATGAGGGTGAGGGCGAGGGTGATGATGAACTGGTTAAAGGTGATGACATTAGTGATTTAGGTAACCATGTGAACAGAATTAGGGTTACACATGGTAAAAGAATCATGGTTGATTCATGGAAAAAGGTGAAAAATAATTAGAGTAACAATTGTCTGAGGAAAGGAAACATTGAACTGAATGAATTTCTGTTTTTTTTTCCTTTTCTTTTTCTCTGTAATGTTTGAACATTGAGCAAATATTTTCTCGAGTAGTAAATTGTTTATTCTTGCGCAACATTTTTTTTACTATTCCATTCATGAGGTTACATCTGGTGGAGAGAAAATTTACTCCTTTTGGCGGTTTTTTTGAATTTCGAACTTTTTTTTGTTTTTTTTTCCTTTTCCTCGATTTTTGTCTAGATTTTTGATCATTTAATTATGGAAAAAGGGAGATTAAATTTTCTGTGTAAATTGTTGATTTTAATTTATGGTTCATTTTTGAACTAATGAACTTTTCTTGTCAATTACAATGAGTTGGATGATTATGATTAGCTAATTGATTAAATGTGTTTACTATTATGTTACAGTGTTGATTGGCTTCTCGAAACTTTGACATTTACTTGAGATACCTGAAAGTTAATTGTTGTTTTGAAAATACAAAACAAAGAGTTTAATTAATGATGATGATCAATTAGATCTTCTTATTGGTAACTTACTTTGCTGACCAGTCCGTTTTACCGGTCATACTTGACCCTAATTGGTTTGATGTCTCTTGACTTTGATTGGAAATTATTGAAATCCTTCTTGTTGAATTATTGGCAACTAATTGATATCGAACGAAAAAAAGCAAAGTAATTAAAACAATTATATTGGATTTTCGTTCGTTAAAAGGTTCGAAGTGTATCTAAAAATGTCCAATTACCTCCTCGATATGATAAATTTTTGGTATTCTGTCCAGCGATGTATCGAGATCTAATTAGATATTGATCTTTTAATGAGATACCTGAATTACGTTTAGATTGTGAGCTAATTTGATTCGTATTATCACTCGTATTGTTCATTAATGAATTTATCTCGGGTGATTTTGGCCTTTCAATGGTCATCTCTTTGTACCTTGTTCCTTGGTTTGGAAAATTTGACCTATCACCAACTCGATCGTCGTTTATTTCACCGATTAACCTTTTATTACCATTATCATCCCATTTATTTGACGATAATTTGAAATAATTTGATGGTCTATTTGAAGATGACCTTGTGGTGGACAGAGAGGTCATTTGTTGTAGTCCCAATTTTTGATTTACTTTAAAATAACTGTAACGGAAACTTTGAGTTACTGTTGGACGATTAGATGGATTCCATTTTAACATGTTCACCATTAAATCAATTGCTCCAGAACTTGCATTGGGAATTGCTGATTCTAAATTAATCGAACTCATCAGAGGAAATTTAAAATTCATCGAAGATGCTAATTGATAGCCTTCCGTCCATTCTCTCTGTTGATTACAATATTGAAGAGAATCATCAATTAAAGAAGAAGAAGAAAAAAAAATAGATCAGAATTCGAATCAGTAATCAAGAAGTAAATTGTGAATCCTAATGGTTATCATCAATAATTAACTTCTCATGTAAAGATATTTGAATATTGTGAGTCAATTAAACTGATTTGTTTGCAATCGAAACTAAAAGTAATTACAATTGTGAGTTTAATTACATTAATCAACCCTTTTTGTTATCATGTGTTCATGAATTGAGGTCACTTTATGGTCAATGATTATCGATACAAAATTTGAATATATATTCACAAATTTACATGAAAATTACGACCTAGAGTTGATTTAATGTATTCCTAAGGTTTTGGTTCAGTTAATTTAAATATTACAAAAGCTTTTCAATTGTTTAACTAACTGTTAGTTAAATTTATCATCAATCTTATCAATGATTAGCTAATACGTTTGGTAACAATTTGATTTGCTGGTTGATCACTACTACTGATTGTTTGACCTTGGTCAAGATAAATTCATTTGTATTGTACATTCAATGTAACTATTGATCAATAAATTGTCCTAATCAATAGGATTGTTATACAATCAAGGTTGGTGTAAATTTGATCATCTCAAGTGAAGGGAAGAAAACAATCAAGATCAACAATCAAGCACAATTTGCTTAAAAATAACGAAATTGTGAAACTTTTTTTCTCACTTTTCTTCATCAATCAATATTATCAATCAATTGTTATCAAGAAAAAGTAGTAATCTACTTTTTGAATCTGTTAACTATTTGGTAGCTTTTTGATATTTAAGATTATCAACAATTAAATGTGTCGAAATCATGATTATCAATTATTAGCTAACTAAGGTGTATACAGTTACCTTATCGGGTGTTCCAAGGACTGAACAGATTCTGAAAATTTGATCGATTTCACTTCGGCCTGGAAAAATGGGTTGAAGGGAATACAATTCCGCCATGATACAACCAACCGCCCAAATATCAATGGGTGAAGAGTAATTAGTTGACCTTAACAGGACTTCGGGTGCTCGATACCAACGAGTTGACACATAATCGGTATAAGGTGGACGAGAACGGATCTCACGGGCAAGGCCAAAATCAGCGATCTTGATCAATTCTGGTCCATTGCAAAGTAAATTTTCGGGCTTAATGTCCCGATGAAAGAATCCATGTTTATGCATGAAATTAAGTCCATCTAATATTTGGTACATTATATTTCTTATCACAGGTTCGGCAAATGGTTTCTCTCTACATTGGAATAATTAAAATCGATCAACAATTAGCGGAAAAGTTTCATTGATCAACAATTAAGTAATTCTAATTACCTGTCTTTGATTAATTGGTAAAGATTTTCCTTCATATATTCAAAGACAAAGTAAAGTTGATTGTCCTCCCTAATCACTTCTCGTAATTTAACCAAATTGGGATGACTTAATTTCTGTAAAGACTGTAACGACAATTAGAGTAACAATTATAATTGATTGACAATTAATTTGATTAATGGTTAACCTTTAATTCATCTTCAATAGTCACTTTTTTTTCATTATAATCAAAGTTCAATCAACTTTTATATAACAAAAATACACGAAAACAATCAATAAATTTGGTTTTTATTATAAGTTAATTGTCATCGATTCTCAACTAAATCAACTAATCATGATCTCGAGTGTTTTTTCATTCGTTGTTCATAAATAAATAATTAAATCAATTGAACAATTTGAAATGATCAGGAAGTAATTAACTTTTTCGAGGACTTTAAACCTTGAAAAGTAAACAATTAAAATTCAATTGATTTACTAATTATTGATTCAATTTGATAATCTATCATTATGATTAGGTCAAAATTAAGACACAGAGATGTAAATAGACAATTAATTGTGTGATTAAGCTTAATTGTCGATTGATTTATCTATTGGTTGATTAGTTTCAACTTATCAATTGTTACTGAAAATTTAGTCTTGATAATTTGATCAAATTGATGATGATCAATGGTCAATATTAATTATCTAAGAGCTTAATTGTTATCGTTGGTAATAAGTGGCTAAGCTGATTAGTCTAATAATAGCTTGTGATGATTATCAAATTAGTTGATCAAATTTAAGGTTATCATGATTACTGATTGTTCAACAAATAACAAAAAGTTTCGTGATATAATCAACAAATTGTTGTATTGGTGAATCAAATCTAGTCCAAGGTTGAGACCAGTGATTAGATTCATTGGAAGTTAACAATCGATTAACAATTAAGCTTAAATTGTGAATTCGTAAGAATTGAATCAGTGAAGAGAGAGAAATAAAAAATTCAAATCATTCAAACAATTAATCTGCAAATTGTAAAATCATTTGCAATTTAATTGCAGAGGAAAAAAATTCACCATTGATAGTATATTATTGTATTTAAATCAATCGATAGCAACCTTGATTATGTATATTTAACTAAATACTGTCTATTGTTGGTCAAGATTAGACCCTTGACCAATACTAATGGTCACTTAATTGTGGTTTGAAAAGTAGTACAACACATTTTTCAATGATTAAGAGCAAAATTATTATTAGAAATTAACTAAATCACTTACCTTGACCTCTCTTAAATTCATACACTCTTCCCATGAATAATAACGTTTCTTCATCCTGAATTAAATGAACAACAATTGGTTAACATTGAAATAGCAAAACAAAAGGTTGACAATTAATCGCAATGGTTAATTGTTGGTCTCACTTTTTAATTGCCACTTTCTCACCAGTTTCCAGCCTTTGGGCAAGTAAAACTGTCCCATAAGTCCCATCGCCAAGTTGACTTAACATAACGTATCGATTCATACCCTTGGCTGTTTGAATACCCTCTCGATTTGGTCTCTTAATATCAATGGTGGGCTTGGGTGTGGTGGTCGTGGCGGGGGTGGATTTAAGTCCAATGTAAGGTTCAATGAGTGACAACATTTACACCCACTTTGATTACTGACAGTTGATTAACTAATAATTACCAAGAAATATTGAAAAGAAAAGGTAACAATCAATTTGAATCTCAAATCCCAATTGTTTTCATATTAATAATTTTACCAACATTTAGTTATCATTGATATAAAGGCGATGATGATTATGGTTATACAATTAACTTAATTATGATTTTGATGAGTAACATTATTCACAATTAATATTGGCATTTTGATCATTTGGCAATAATTGTATTGATTTGATTTGATTCAATTTGTTTCTCCATCAAAATTTTGTTGAGCAAAATTTGATTTGAAATTTTGAATTCACAATTTGAAAATTTGCTTGATTGTTATTGTTTAATTATCTTGATGATTAACAATGAAATGAAATGTAATTTAATCATTTGAGATACAAAATTTATTAGATTATTGTTTACATGCGTGATATTGAGTTTCCATTGTGATTATTTTTTTTTATTATTGTCAACAATTAACTGATTACTATGGTTACATGGGAAAAGTAATTCAGAAGAAAACAACAAACTGATTATCATGATGATGATAATTATGAGCATGATTATGATGATAGAAGATGATTTCTATTAGTTTCAATTCATAGGAAATTAACTTGGGAGTTGATGATGATCATTAATGAATTATAATAATTATCATGTTTTCATGATGATCTTCATCATGATAATGATTCCGACCTTCAAATAATCATATTAATATTATGAACGTTGAAGATAATAATTGATTTTTCGTGGATTAAGAGTCACTTTAACATCGTTTCGTTAATTTAACTTTTAATTGTTTGGAAAGATTAATTTTCACAATTTAAAGAGGAAAGAAAATTAAGTTAACTGATTAGTTTACTTTCGCACTGACAGATGGAACTGTGATTAGTTTTAATGAGAAAACAAAAAGTTTAATTGTTACGATATTTTGTTCATTCAAATTGTTGCGAAAACAATTGATTCAGATTTAGACAATTGAGTAAAAGAAAGTTTCATTCAAGAAGAAGAAGAAATTGATTTGATTGATTTAATCTGATCAATGAACTTTGATTGTCTTAAATTGGTTATTTGATTGAAAAAATTTCCAATTTTTTTGGCTCAATTTTTCAATCGTTAGTTTGATTCGTAGTTAAATTCATCATCAATTTCTGGCTTAATTTTATGATGATGATGATGATGAGAGAGAGAGAGAGAGAGAGAGACTTCTCATCACTATTTAGCTCTTGAGTAACTGAATTTAACTCAACTATTAATATTAAATCATTTCGATGATTTTTCAACCAATCAGCTGATCATTTAGCTGTAAAGTTCATGGGTTACCCGGAATAGCTGAACATTTATCGAAGATAAAATCAAAGGCAAAGTTGATCAACTTACTCAGTTTTCTTGTATTTGCAAATAATCTGTGAATGAAAATTAAGTCATTAAATTGTCTTCAAGATGTAACAATTTAATGACCAATTAAAGGCTATGATGTTGATCAGATATCATTAATTAGTTAAATTGCTTATTCTATTGTTAATAATGAAAGCTAATTCATGAGCCATGGAACCTGGAAAATGAGAAATGATTTAATCTCTTATTTTCCCATTTTCAAAATGATAATTAAGTTAATCAAAAAGTCAAGAACTCGGATAAAGGTCTTTACTCTTTGATTAAATCAGCTAATCATAGTGCTACCATTAATGATGATGAAAGCTAATGATGATGATAATGATGATGATGATGATGATGATGATGATAATGCCCTGTGTCTATTATCAGGGGAGATTCGTAGGTATAAACCCCGAAGGAGGAGCTCGACGGAAAAGTCGATGAAACTAGAAAAAAGTTTTTCCAGCATTAAATTGACGCCGAAAACTTTTCATGTTTACAATCAACAATTAACGCTTCCAATTTAAATTAGTTGACAGAAATCATCATGAAATAAATCGATTACAATTAAAGGGCAATGGATTAAGTTCCACTTAACACCTGAAGGGAATTTAATTGTTCCAAATGATTAAACTGTAGACTTTCACTTTCTTAAAACAATTAACAATATTTTGATACATTTCCTTGTCTAGAAAAGTTAATTGTTCATTTAAATTGCAAATACATGCAGAAAATGAATCAATAACCTAAATGGTACGCAATCAATTCAACGACAATAACAAAATTAAGGTTATACTTTTAATTGTTGAATAAAATTTTCTGCAATTTCCAAATTATTTAATCATTACAATCAGATTACTGGTCATTTAAATCATCAATCATGTCCCTCTTTGAGAGGATCAATTTTACTGGAGATTAAGCCAAGAGATTTACAAAAAAAACCAAGATTAAGTTCAAAGATTAACTAATCCAGTTTATCTGGTAAATATTATTAATAATTAACCAAGGACAGTGTTAATTAAATTGTTGTTGTTTAACAGCAACAACAAACTAATCATCTAGAGGAACCAATTTCACCCACATTACAATTACCTGATTTAGTTTGTTAATTGTTGAAGGACGGAAAAATCAGTTGAAACAATTATAATATTGGCAATTAAAATTAATCCACAAGAAAATTGTCTTAATTGTTTGCGAAATTATTTTCCATTGAGAAAAACAATAAAAAAACTAACAACGTATTATTTAGTTGTTACTAAATTTACAATCAACAATCAAATCCAAGGAAATACAATTTAACAACCCCAACAAGTATTAGGCATTAATATGAATACAATGTGGCGAAAAAAGTTTCAACAATTAAAATTAATTTGATTGTAAAAATCAATTGAACAAAAAGTAAACAATAAAGCCGAGAAAATTTTGTTTACCTTCATCTTGTCAACTGAATTGAATATATAGTTAATCTGTTGATAAACAGAATTTACCTTGATGGAAATACAAATTGTAATTAAATTGATGAAAAAGAAAATTAAATCGTAACATTGATTAGAATCAGTAAAATTAAATGGTGAACCACCGGTAACGTTTATTAATGGAAATGTAAAAAAAACGAAATAAATTAAAGAGAAAAAGCTTCAAATCTAATCGAGAAGAACTGGTTTCAGAATTTATTCAGTATGAAGATAAGAAGAGAGAGAGAGAGAGATGAAGATAATGATAAAAGAAAGTGAGAGAGAGAGAGAGAGAGAGAGAGAGAGAGAGAGAGAGAGGGGGAATGAGAGAGTATCTTCATTGAGAGAGCGTGTAGATATTGGTGTTTTTCAGGTAGAAAATTTCCCTCCCCGACTCACTCAACAGTCTTCAGGGTAAATAAACGTAAACAAATCAACAGGTAAACAGCTCTCAGTTACACTCTCTCACCCCCAATCCCCCTCCTACTCTATCACTCTCTCTCTCTCTCTCTCTCTCTCTCATCATCATCTCCCACTCTCACTTTTCTGCTCACTCACTTTTTGTTGCTCTTTTTTTTCACTTTATTGTAATACTCACTGAGCCACTGTTTTTATACCTTGATTATCATTCATTTTGTTCACTAAATAACATCAACATAACAATCAACGTTTTTTTTTTGATTGTTTTCTTGTTGTTACTGTTGATATGTTGTTGCTTAATAGACAACAATTTATTTGATGACAGTGAATTTGTGTCTAAATTGTGTTAATTATTTATAGATTTATATATACATACAATCAATTGATTATCAAGCCAATCATCCTTTCAATTGGTAATTATTGTGTCTTTGTCTACCTCATTTTATATCATCATCTTGATTATTATTCAATTAATTGTTTTATCAATCATTTGATTGTTGTTGTTGTTACTGTTTTTGTGTTTGTCTCTCTCTCTCTCATTTGTTTTAATCAACAGCAACTAAATCAACAAGGTGACATATATAAATCAACTTGAATTGTAAAGGAGAGAGATAGAATAACAATTTGTTCATCAATAATCAAAATTTTAAGGATTAATTGTTTGGAACCGTAAACAATTAAGTGTAATCATCAGAAGCAAGAGAGTAACAACAACAACAACAACAACAACAACAATATTAACACTTTAAGTGTGTCTCCCAATCTAAAACGGATTAGAATTGTAATTGGAATTAAGTTTAATTGTGATCGTCAACTGAGTTTTCAATTATCATGGGTTATGATGTTGAACGATTTTTGGGTTCAATCGACGAAGAATTGAAATGTCCAATTTGCTGTGGAGTTTTGGAAGACCCTTTACAGGGTCAAAGGTGCGAACATGCCTTTTGTCGTAAATGTATCTCGGAGTGGATGAGAAATTCTGAAACTTGTCCAGTTGATCGTAATTCACTTACCTCATCACAATTACAACCAATTCCACGAATAGTTCGTAACATGTTGAACCATTTATCAATTCGATGTGATTTCACCGGTGAAGGTTGTCGAGAGATAATTAATCTTGAAGATTTACCTTCTCATCGAACTGATTGTAAATATAATCCGGAACATCCGGTTCCCTGTTTACGTGATTGTGGTGCGCTGGTTCCAAAGAATCGTCTTGAATCACATGATTGTATTAAAGATTTAAGGTCATTAATTTGCTGCCAACAAAAGGAAATACAAGAATTAAAATCAGCAATCTCAATATTGGTCAGTCTATCGGAGCAACAGAAACGTATGGCAACGGTCAATAACTCATCGCTTCATGATCTCTCTGAACGTTATGAACATTTGAAAAATTCGATAGCCAATTTAGAGAAACCAATTCAACAGATATTACAATTGGCAATCAGATCGGATTCCTTCCTCCGGTGAAACGGGAATATCGATTAAAGATAAATTGGTCGAGGAGACGACCCTTGAAATTTACATTTCCAATGTTGATCGTTGTGTTACTGCGGGAAATTTAAGAGACTATTTATCTCGGAATGATGTTAATGCGATCGCTTGTAAAGAGTCACTTTATCGAGGTTGGAAAAACGACTTTCGAATAACAATCTTCAAAAGTGACTGTTCTAAAGTTCTAGATCCAAATCTATGGCCAAGAGGAATAGTTTGCTTCGTCTGCGGGGAATATTATTCAACCAAAACTGAAGGAAATCGCGATCCACAAGAACCTGGACCAGATTCGATCGTAAAAGCATCGACTTCTCCATGGATGATGTCTTGATGATTTTCCCACTTCCTTCTATTCAACGTGTCTACTCTCTCACTCTCTCAGTTTGTCTTCTCTGTCGATTTTGTCTCTTTGGCTCTGAATTCTCATAACCATTTTTAAAATTCTCGATTCAACCAAGAATCATATTCGCATTTATTTATCTTCTCTTCAGTTTTATCTTCTTTTAATTCTAATGGCTTTTTACCTTTATTTCTCTCTCTCTCTCTCTCTCTCTCTCATCTTCCCTCATCTTCTCTGTCTATGTTTGATTCTCTTCTCTCTCTTCTTGGGATATTTTCTCCCATTTTTCCAAATGATTTCCTCATCCGAGCTTCCTCTTCATCTCTATCATCGTCATCATGCAAAAAAGAGTATCTGAAAAACCATTGCCATTTGATCATCATCTTCATCCTTTAATCTTAATCAATTGGATTAACCCAATTTCATTGCCATCATCATCATTATCATCATAATAATCATTCAATTGCCATGGACAATCAAACATGTTAATATAATGAACAATTAATATAATTTCTGCTCTCCAATTGATTTAATCATAATCAACTTTCTCAAATTGTAATTACTACCATCATCAATGCTAATAATTAACCAGCTAGAAACAAAAATAATGTCATGTTGATAATAAAAAAAAAGTGTGATTATTACAATTAATTAATCGTCATGTGTAAAGGTAATCAAATTAGCAGCGTAATAATTAATGAATGAAAAGCAATCAGGCAAAAGTCATAAATGATGTATCAACCTTTTCATTTCCTTTCTGTTTAAATTGTTAACAATCAGATTAACCAAAACAATGATTATATTTTTCAACAATTTACTAATTGTTAACATCAATAATCTCACTCTCATGTAAATTATGATGAATTAAAACAACTAAATCCACGAAATTATAACCAAAAAGAAACTTTTTTTTCTTCTTCTCAAAAACTATCATCTGATTGTCAACAATTAACTTCTATTGTTGATTTAAATCCAATTACGATTTATATTTATATCTCAAGTGATTAAATCGATAATCAAATTTGAAAGTGTTATTGAAAAAGTAAAGAAAGACTAATAAGGAAAGAGAAGATGAAATAACGAGAAAGTAAAGAAAGAGAATGAAAAAATTAGGTTAGAAAAGTTCAATTCGAACTTTTTTTCTCTCTCTCTCTCTCAAAATCTCTTTCGACATTTGATTTACTCTCTTTCTCTGTCGACAAAAATGGAGATAAATTGTTTTCCATTGAATGAGTTAATCACAATCAAGTAACAACAATCAACGTTGATTATTAATTGCAAACTGGTTTTAACGAAAAACTTTTTATTTTCACTTTTCGACTCGAATTTGAAAAAAAAAGTTTTCATCATTTCCTTTCCGTTTTTAAAATATAATTTAAATTGCTGCTTGATTGTTGTTGTTGTTATGGCACATTAACCTAAATCAATGAATGAATTAACTTTCATTTTTCATTAACTCTATCACAATTAAATTGTAGCTTAAATCATTGATTGATTGAAAACAAAACAAAACAATCCAAATGGTTTTACCATTGAAAATGATAAACAATTAACCCAAAAAGCCATAAATAAAAACAAAAACCTAAAAGTATAATTAGTTAATTGCTGATTTGCTATTAACAATTTTTTTCTTCCCTCTTTCTAACAATTAATTAAATTACTTTCACAATTAATTTATCCTTGAATCCATAATACATCATATGTTGTGTATTCATTTATAGTAACTGGTTCTTAAATCATCATCATCATCATGATCACCAAGAATAACAAGTTGATCCTTAACTTAATCAAAACAAACACCACAACAATTTACCTGTTGATTAAACATATGATTCAATTAATTAATACAAGACGATTAAGTTACTATCACAATAACAATCAATTAACTTTTCTCATGATTGTATAACCTTTGGGTTTACATTGAGACGATTTAAGTTGATCAACTAAACTGTAGACAATCAATATTAATATTATCACTTTCTCTTGGTATAATTAACCTAATTAACTGTTAACAATTGATTGGCTATTAACTTGTCTTTCCTCCTTCCTTTTTCCTAGTTCATTGGCTGTGATTAATTAATTGCTACAACAATCAAATTGTTGATTCGTATTCAAATTGAAAAGGTAAAAAACAAAGTGAAAATGTTAAATTGTCTTCTAATTGGATTGAAATATGATTATGTTAATCTTTATTCAGCTAATCCAATATAATCAACTGTCTACTGATTGTAAATCAATTTTAATCGCAACGATTAAACTACGAAAAAAGCAAATAACGTTAAATTAGTTGGTTAAGTACATGACACATTGTTAATTGTAATTAAACAAAGAAAACGTTAATTTCCTTAATTGTGTTTACATTTTGCTTTCTTTCAATTAGTTTTTGTGTCTTTTAAAATGTTTCAATTATTTTTCCATCTCTAATCACGTTCACAATTTAGATTCAGGTTAACAATTAATTATCCTTTTTTTTTGCTTTACCAACAATACAACAATTTAACCATCAATCGTTAAATATGATCAATATGATTCTTAAACCAACAACAATTAACAAATTGATGTTATTATTACCCAACCCTTTTCATATATACACTTGAGTTGGAAAGGTAAGTTGAAACCTTTAATTTGACTAATTTATTTTGATTGTTACAAACTAATCAGTTAAAAAGCAACTAATAATTTTACAATTTATGTTAATTGTTGTGTTGCTAATGGTGAAAACCTCAAATCCACACATTCTCAATGAAACAATTTACAAATCCATTTAAATGGTTGGTTAATTATATAAATACAATTTCGGGATATTAATTATCAATGATGATGAAAATTTTCTGTAACAATTGTAACTAATTTGTGTTTTCCAAACTAAATCAACAATTAATATTCTTGTATACATACATAATATTATCGTGATTAATATTAATTCAATGATTAGGCTTTTGGATGGACAATCAAGGTGATTTATGGCTTTGTGATTAATGTTTCATTTCAATGGATTAGAGAATCAGAAACATGAGAATCAAAATTTACATTTTAAATGATTAACTAAATTGGTGAGAATTTTGTTTATCACAGAGTTTTTCTGAAATTCCAAAAATAGAGTTTTCTTTCCAGGGGAAAAAAAGAAAATCAATAATTTCCATTGGAATATTTTTCTCTCCTATGGTTGATTGTTTTTCTTTGGATCTTTTATCGCAACCATTGAATAGTTATTTCCAGTGAACTTGGACCATGACCATCGCGATGAGATCGGATTGTAAATCATTCCTTGAACTGAACGAACGGTAAATTCATCTGGAAGAAAAGGAAAACAATTAAAATTGATTAGATTATTATGTCTGATGGAATTGAAATGATGATCGACACTTACTGTGTTCAATTAAACGCTGTAAACTTGTTGGAGTAATGAACAGTTGATATTGGTGAGTACCTTCAGGAATTAGTCCTAAAACCTTTTCAGCAATCAAAATGTCAACAATATAAGCAGCTAGGGTTTGATTGATTGTTGTGATGATTAAATTTCCACCAGGTTTGATAAGATGACCACAGGATTTAATGAATAGATCAATATCTTCAACATGTTCCAATACCTCTGATGCAATGACTGAATCAAATTTACCATGGTTACTGGTATCAGAGGTAAAATCTTCAATTGAAGTGTTGATATAATTTAGATTACTGGACAATCCTGGTGAAAACCAGTCACGATGCTCCTCAGCGGCTTGAATACTTCCCGAACTTGGATCTAGACCAATAACTGAGGCACCAAGTCTTGCAAGGGGCTCACAAAGTAAACCACCACCACAACCAACATCTATACAAGTGTAACCCTGTAAGGGTTTGGATGTTTCCAATGGTTTTCCTTTGGTTAATGTATCACGAATCAAGGGTACCCGAAGTTGATTTAGAGCTCGTAAGGGTTTCATTGAGACACCAGACCACCAATCGAAACCAGCATTGTTATAGAAAGTAACTTGATCCGGTGAAATGGTTGAGAAATTTGATTTTCCACTTTCCAAAGAGTAACATGGACCTCGACCAATTATCAATGGTAGTCTATCAATCCTTTGTCCAGTATTTTTACTCCAGTTAATCAAATGTCGAGTTAATTTAATCATTGGGCCAACAAAACGAAACCAAAACAAAGATACACAACACAATTAAAGATCAACCCAAAGAGAGATGAAAATTACTGGTTAACCTGTTAAATTAAAAGCAAAAAAAAAGATCATTAGACAAATAGAGACAATTAAATGTAAGAAATCAATTCAATTTACCTGAAAACGAAACACTCAAATCAAAATCAGTGAACAATCAAAACATAAACACACAATTACCAAAGAAAAGTTAACAAATGAAAAAAAGGAAAACAATATTTTCTTTATTAGTTCCAAATGGAATCAAGAGATGGCGCCACTATACAGAAAATTCTTTTGCATTTGTAAGTTGAATTTTCCCTTCAACATTCAAGTTAATTGATGGTTAACACCGATGGATGATAACGATGATAATAATAATAATGGTCAGTTCGTTATCATCATTGGGAAGAGGGAGGTAACTAAGAGGTGGAGCTTAACGGGAAGGCCAAAAGCCGACGTAACAAAAAAAGTTAGAAAAAAGTTTCTTCTGTTTCATCAACATCAACCAACAAGAAACTTGGAATTAAAAGTTTTTCTATTTGAAAATTAAATTCTCTTACCATTAAATTTATACCATACGAACTTAAATTTAGTTACAAACAATTAAGTTACAATCAAGTTTTGTGTTGTTCAAATAATTGTGGTGATCGTTACGCTAATCGTTCAACATTTTTGAAAAGGATTTTTTTTCCCTCTCTTCGATTTTGTCACCAGAAAAACTTTGACTTTTCGTGTTTTCTTTTTTTGATTAATCATTATCATCTACCTTTTTTTTTTATATATTTACGGTGCTTAATTGTTACGTGAAATGCAATGTATACCTGCGATGCAAGCAAATCAACTAAAGGAGCGTCCAAACAACGCCGAGACTCAATTAACGCCGAGATTGCTAATCTTCGTGATCTATTGCCACTTCCGTCATCAACCCGTCAGCGATTGTCGCAATTACAATTAATGGCATTGGTTTGTGTCTACGTAAGGAAATCAAATTACTTCCAGAATGGTAAGTAAATCAGTGTATTGATTAAATTTCATTATTAACCCTTTACCCTCAAACATAAATATAAATCAACTCGTTGTTGTCAATTTAATTAAGGTGTTAGATTAATGAGTCAAAATGGTTGTTTGATTTTCAACAATTAACCTTCAAACCTTATATTCAATTAGCGTTCAATTAAAATACGTAGGAGTGACAAACTTTAATTCAGTAAATAAATGATTAGATGATCAAAAAAAATAATGAATTAACTATTGATTGTTGTAAACGGTTGGTGGTAATTCATTGTTAATATTAATATAAAAGGTTAACCATGGATGATAATAGTTAAGATGATGATGATGATGATGATGATGATGATCTTGTTATAAAAGAGATGAGGATGGAGAAAAAAACTAAGACATGTCAATCAATATACTTAAGGATAATTAACTAATTGTTATGATTATTCAATGAGAGATGATAAACTAACCATTTAAGATGTTGTTCACCATTGAGAAGATAGGAAAATGTTCAGATGAGAATGAGAATAATTCAAAGTAGTTATTCAAAGGAAGATGAGGATGATAAATATATTGAGAATTGACATTATGATGATGGTTCCCACAATCGATTGATTCAATTGATCGGGTTTCTGTTCACACCACTCAACAGGTGATCCTCTTATCGTATTTATCCTTCATCATCATCATCATCATTATCTTAATTTAGTTTGAATATTTTTACATAGAAGATGAAGAAAAAAAAAAGTTATCCCAACAATTAAAAATTTTAAGAAAAAGCGGAAATTAGTTTTCATCTTTTATATTAATATTATCGAGAGAAACATGAAACCGGAAGGAGGTGGAAAAACATTGATTAATTGTGGGAGGAGATGAGATGATGATTAATAAACGATAATCTGATTGTTCGTTAGGATGAATTATGAATCTCAGGTTATGTAATAATAATGGCGAAAATAAATCCAATATTAAGATTAAATTGATAGAAAAAAAGAAGAAAAAAAAATTATCTAATATTTTCCTCCTCCTCCCACTTTAGTATCGCATCTTCATCATTCTCATCATCCTCATCCTCATCTTCATAAGGTATTAGATAATTTTGATTGAAAAAAAACAAAAAATAAAGATGAAGATGAAGATGATTGGAAACCTCCCACCGCCCCCTAATCCACCAGGTAAATAATAGTAACTTGTTTACCTGATGATCATCATTAACATGATTGTTTATTAACTTGAACCTGTAATTAGTGGGTCTTTGGTTACAATCAACCTCCTAATTAAAGTGAAATTAAAACAACAATCAAAAAAAAAAATGAACAGAAAGCCAATGCTAATCAATAGAGATCATTAAATCAGGGATAATGATTAAGGATCTGTAAGGATGATAAATATGAATTTTCAAGTTTCCATTACAAAGATAATGAAAAATTTTCTTCTGATAACAGACCAGCGGTCAAAGCATTTCCACCACAAGTACCACATCAAGTACCACAGGATTACATCCTCTTAACCTCATCTTCATCCTCATCATCTTGAGAGAGATTCAAATTAATGTTACATAAGAATAGCAAGAGAAACAAAAATTGATACTTCGACTTATGGATAATCATTTTCTTCCTCCCTCCCTCCCTCCTCTCTCTCTCTCTCTCTCTCTCTCTCTCTCTCTGAGTCAAAATGATCTTTATCATGATGATATCATCCTAATCTCCATCTTGCTAATCACCTTCATCTTTATCATCATCAAGTTGATATTATCTTTTTATTCAAATTATATTTCACTCGATCAGCATTTAGATAAATTTACTAATTATTCATTGATTTTCTATTGATTTAATTTACCTTTATTCAGATTCTTTCATTATTATCATTAATCAGTATTGATTTTCTCATATAATATAAATCACAGGTAGAAATGATTAAAACCCGCATCCAAACAATTTGATTTTCACTTTGACGATTAACGATAAAATTTACCTTGATAATATTACCATTGATCCCTTGTTGTTGCTGATGATTAACTAATTGTAATATTATTTACATAATAATCATAATTATATAGATTATTATGATTATATGATTATGGTTTATGTTGATTACCTGATAATTAGCGTATTACCAAAAAAAAATTGTTCTTAATATAATTAGATTTAAATTCACTTTGATTAGCTAATTATCCTAACCTGTAATCATCATATTTAAATAATTGACAATTTAATTTGTAAGTTAAATTAGTTTAGTATATTTGATTTAAAATCGTATTGATATAAATAATATTTTCATTGATTCTCATGATTAAAACAATCAAATGATAATTTAATAGTTCTTATTTTCTTAATCACAATTAAATTTAATGATCAAGAATAGAAGAAAATTTTTTTTTCTCAATCTAATTTGATTTGATTGTTAACAGATCATAATGATCACTTGAATTTAAACAAATAACTTTACGACAATTAAATTTAATTGTGTATCTTTTGATTTTCACACTCACTTGACCATTTAAATCAATATTAAAGTAAAATGAGATTTGATTAAATTGTTGATTGATCAATGGTAAATCTTACTCATTAATTGTGTATTGTTTAAAAGTAATTTGATTAACTGAAAACCCCCTTCATCAAACATGAGACAATTAACTTAATCAATATTGATTCAAGTAGTTATTATATTTAAATATACCAACGGTTAACAATTAATGTTTGCATAAAATGAAAAACACTCAATCAAATCAATGATAATAATCATTAATCAATCACCTATTTTTAAAATATTGACAACAATTAAGATTAAAAGTTAAAATTGACCAAAAATTAGACAACAATTAACTCGTAAATTAAACAAACTTTTACAATTTATTTTCAGCTTTTCGTAAACATGAAATGCTACCAGAGATGCCGATGCCACACTTTGGCTTTTCAAAGGTAAGTTATTAAATTTACTCTAATTAATAGCAACAATTAACTAATAACAATTAAGAAGAAGAAGAAAAAAGTTCTAATAGAATAGAAAAACAAAATGAGCGGTAAAAACAAGTTCGAAAGAAAAAAGTTTCCAACATGAGAATCACCAAAGTGAGAAGTCAATAGAGAAGAGATAAAATCAAGAAGCCAAAGTTAAGTTGCGATTCATTGATTGTTACAATTATCGTAACAATTATAATTATCTACCTTTTAATTGTAGTTTTCAGTTACCATTCAACACACACACACACACTCAACGTTTAACCACATCGACGATATATAAATGATCAGGTAATAAGAAAGAAGAGAGAAAAAAAAATCAAAGATCCAACCTTAAAAAGTTAAAGTCGAAAGAAAAGTTTACCTGTACAAAAATACTTACCTGTATACAAGATAATCTGAAACTGATAAACTACTTGAATAAACTAAGTAACTCAACTAATCAACTAACTAATTTGCAAGGTTTGTTGTTATGCTATTAGTGGAAATACAATTAGCTGTCTAAACTCTTGTATGTTATTAATTGGAAGCCCTATGGTTACATCCTCCAAATAACCTCTCCGCCCTCTCTTCTTGCCTCCAAGTAATGATGATGATGAGAAGAAGAAGAAAATAACTTTCCACCCTCCCCCTTGGTCATCATCATCATCATCATCTTCTTCTTCACCATCATCTTCCACCTCCTCCTCCCCATCAACATCATCATCATCTCTCTGCGAGTTGATTGACAATCACTTTGCAATATCAAAAGCAATCAAAATTGTTCATCATCAACATGAGATGAGATATCCAAAGATGATTATCCTCCTAATCATTATCCTCAATCACAATTGTTAATCACCATAAGACACCAATCAACTTAGATAATCAACAATCAATAAATACCTTCAAATAATTAAGATTTATTGAAATTAATTCAGTTCAAATTTTTGTGATTATCGTTCAATTTGATTTTCCTTCCTGTTTTTTTTTAAATTGTTGCTTTGTTTTCTTGTATGTCTCAAGTTAATTGTACTGAAA